GTTTAGGGTTTAGGGTTTAGGGTTTAGGGTTTAGGGTTTAGGGTTTAGGGTCCTCAAAGACTCCAATATCCCTTACCCAGACCCCCAAAAGGATCTAAAAAATAGATCCCCTAAGGGGGTTCCTATAAAGTACCCTTTTGTAGTTAGGGTCCCTAATTAGGGGATCTATTGTTTAGATCCTTTTGGGGGTCTGGGTAATTAGGGAATATACCTTACAAGTATAGTAGGATCCCTACTAAGATTTAAGATATATTCCTGAACCCTAAACCCTAACCCTAAACCCTAAACCCTAGTAAGATTTAAGATATATTCTCTAATTAAGTAAGGGGTTTTGGAGTCTCTGGGTTTCGGTCCTCTTTGAGATCCGCAAAGCGGAGGGCACCCGGATCCTCCCGCGCGGCTGCAAGCAACACCTCTCGGTCACCCTAACCCCTAAACCCTAAACCCTAAACCCTAAACCCCTGAACCCCTAAACTCCTAAACCCTAAACCCTAAACCCCAAACCCTAAACCCTAAACCCTAAACCAACACCTCTCGGTCACTCCGGAGCCGTGGCGGAGCGCGGCCCAGGAGGACCTCGGCCCTCCACCTGCGGGTTTCCTAAAATGATTTATATCCCTTAATTAAGGAACATACCTTAAATCATATTGGGGATCCTACTATAATTTTAAGGTATATTCCCTAATTGAAGGATATGGGGGCTTCCAAAAATAAGGGACCCTAATATAGTACCCCAAATAGTAGGACCCTAATATAGGACCCCAAATAGTAGGATCCTTATTATAAGGACCCCAAATAATAGAATTCTTATTATAAGGACCCCAAATAATAGGATCCTTATTATAAGGGCCCCAAATAGTAGGATCCTTATTATAAGGACCCCAAATAGTAGGATCCTTATTATAAGGACCCCAAATAATAGGATCCTTATTATAAGGACCCCAAATAGTAGGATTCTTATCATAAGGACCCCAAATAGTAGGTTCTTATTATAAGGACACCAAATAGTAGGATCCTTATTATAAGGACCCCAAATAGTAGGATTCTTATCATAAGGACCCCAAATAGTAGGATTCTTATTATAAGGACACCAAATAATAGGATCCTTATTATAAGGACCCCAAAATAAGGTACCCCTTAGTTTCGGAAACTCCCACCTGCTGCCGCGGAGCTCTGCAAGGAGCCGGCTGCGTTCCTGAAGGGAAATAGGGTTTAGGGTTTAG